GGGAGAGGGAGAGGGAGAGGGAGGCGAGGGGAGCGGAGGGGAGGGCCTTTCTGCAACATTTCAGACTCAATCTCACTACACTACATATTGCCCGATGGTACGTATACGGACGTACCGCATATCATACGGTCACACGGTCAACCAGAGTCCCAGGACCCACAGCCTACAAACCTTACCATGTGAATCTGGAGTCTGGAGATCTCTGATGTGTCAATCGGGCAAAAAAAGTCAACTCGTGCGACTTCTCTGCGCAGGAGAAAGTGGCAAACCCTAAACCGTATGACCCTGTCAACCCTGAACCCAATGAAGCCTGTAGAACCGCTAGTACCTAAACCCTGATACGAAGCCCTGATTATGCGAAGCCGAAGCTCAGCTAGGGCACCATCACACCCCACACCCTTTGAGCAATCTCAAACAGCCCTCAACCTGCAACCCCGGTAAAGCCTAAATGCGAAATCTTCCCCGCCGCCCGGGCCTATCACATTGTCCTTGCCACTGGTGGACACACTGGCACCGGTGCCGCTGAGCTTTTGCCGCAGCAGCTCAAACGCCGGACCCTTTAGCAGCTGTGTTTCAGGCTTGGACTTACGCACTCGCACTCGGCTGGCATGGCGTTGACTAGAGGGTCTGAGAGAGCAGAGGGCAGCACAACTGGTAGGCAGTATGTATATCTCGAAAGTAAGATTGCTCTCACTGCCAGTGCAGAACTTTGCAGTTGACGGCCGGTGAAGGCCTGCATTCCATGCCAGAACTGAGTCAAGCACCGAGCTGGGCAAAGCCAGCTCTATTCTCTGCACGTCGGGAACCGCCTGCTGGCCGCAGAAGTAGTTTTGAAAGAATGGCAGGGAAGCGGTCCTCCACGCGCTTTTCGCATGGTGGTGGCTGCCACAGAGGGCCATTCTCGTAGATCTGGAAAGGCCTTGTGAGCTTACCCCACGCCCTAAAAGTGTCAGAAGTGCATCCGGCAGCCAAGCGCGGAGCTCTGCTCGCCAGTAGATCTCATTGTCTCCCTGTGCGAAGGAGAAGGTCCGCCAACCTCAAGGACTCACGAATGAAGGGAATCAGAGTGGTTCGGGGGGCCTTGGGGTTGAGGGCTTGCAGGGTTTAGGGTGTTTCGCCTCCTGCCTGCCTAGGACAACGAAACCAGACTCTCAGCCTCGCTTGCCTTTCGACTTCCAAAGTAGCACCCAGGAAGGGTTTCTTGGTGCCAAGGTGCGATAGTAGACATGGAGCGGATCCTCCAAATTTTGCTTGTCTGTGGACATGAAGGAAAACCTGACAGGAAATCTGGAATAAGACAAATCGGCATGCAGAAGGGTGGTAATTCGCAAGCCCACGGACGGACAGATACATACTTGCGTAAGTATGCATAGTTTATGTCCCTGTTTGGATATACTATCCGATACTATCACCCAAAAAGTTCACACGATGTGGCAAAGCAAACCGCTCCCAAGCCTCCTCTCAGTTCCCCCAACTAAACCCAAACACGCAGAAACCAGAGCTTACATCTATCTGAAACACGCAGTCTAGTTTCTCGATGAGAGGTGTTGAATTGAATATGCTTCTTCATCATCAAAGGCTTGTCACTAATTCATATTCGATCACCAGGGATATCTAGAGCTCTGTTCATGGCTTCTGCTCTCGGGCAGAGGGGGTGTGAAAGGATGAGGCCACCTTGGGCCACCTTCCTATGTTCGGAGCGACAGGGAGCTCCCGTAACTCTGCCTAGAAGTTCAGGACACCAAGCAGAAAAAAACAGATGGATCTGTGGGCGGTGGTATTACAGTGTATACTTGAGGGCCGGAGACATGGCAGAGAACGAAAGCTCGGCGGTTTTTTCATCCGGTGGATGCAAGCATTTGACCTCGAACAACTGTTACGCAATGAGCCACTCATATATCAATTTACTCACCCGGCCCCTTCCCCCTCCCAACCAAACCGTCAACCGTTCAATGTACCCGCTTCCCCCTAGCTAAGTACCAATAAATCCTGCAAAAGTATCAATAATACACTGATTTTGGGCCCTGGTCTGCCTCCGCTAAAAAAGAGGACTTAACTCAAGCATGCATGCATGTATGTGTGTATGTGCGTGTGTATACATAAGAGAGAGAGAGAGAGAGAAAAAAAAAATGTTATATATGTTCATGTGTGGATGCACACATACATGCAGACACATATACCAGTATAGAGCTAGATTCAGGTAAGTGCACACACAAATCCTACATACAGGGGCACGGCAGGCTCTGATCTGTGATCTTGTCTCATAGGCTCACTGGCCCAAAACCCAAGGAAATAAAAGTTGAAACTTTCAGACTCGACTACCTTATAAGAACCCCAAAAGTTGAAAAGTGGAGTTTACAGCCAATAAGTGGGAGAGCCTGGGGTTCTCCTTCTCTTTGTCGAGGAGCAGCTTCTCCTCGGTTCAGCCGACAGTCATAAGGTTTATAGTGCAATGACCGGTCTTTCAACGGCTATATTACATAGTAGGTTTAGATCGTAATGACTGATACTCTACTTGATTACATTTATGAGAAGAGTCGTTACTATAATGAACCCTCCGAGTGAAGGATTTCGGCACTTACACCGGGCCAAGGTTTGGGTTCAGGAGATCAACGGTACTGAGCCCTTCGAGGGTGGAATTCTGAAGCTTGTAGCAGGTGCCTGCCAAGTTGCAAAGTCCCAGCCCTCATCTGCCACGAACTCGGCGGTCTTGTCTATTAGCTTCTTCAGCACCTTCTTGGCAGGGCTGAGCACTTCACGAAGTTGCCGTCTTGTCAACTTCTTTGCTAGGGGCCTGGTCCTCAGGAACCTTGACGACCAGAGTCTTTGCCAAGTTCCACCTGTGCAGCATCCCAACTGCGCGCAGGAAAGCCGGGGACGGCAGTAGCGAGCTGAGGGCATGCTACAACACCAGACAACATGATTCACCCGTTCACCAAAATGTGTAGTGCCCACAGATATAACCACATATTGTAAGCGTGTATATGCATATGTGATATGTTCTGGCATGGGATCTCTGGCTAGATGGTTCATGTAAACACAATGACAAGTGATCATGTGCGTGTGCACTTGACGTGCATGCCGAACGGGAAGACTTGGCCAGCGTGCAAATACGAAGAAACATGGAGAAACCCTCCAAAGAACATGCGGCACCAAAACAGGCAGAACTAGCAGGCAATTGTGCACACATTAACATTTACAAACTGCAAATCACTGACCTCTGCAAAGAACATGCTAGTGGCACTAAACCCAGCAAGATTATTTTGTGATTGCATAGCAGATAAACGCATGGATAAAGCTGCTAGTGCTTTGTGCTTGTACCTCTACTGCTGTTCCAGTTTTGCAACTATCTTTATGGTACCACTAGTTGGAGCCTAAGCCCTGCAGCCCTAAACCGTCTTGAAAAAAAACAACCTAAACAAGATAACCAGAACGACAGTAGGAAGCTGAGGGTACAGCCGGGACTTGCGCTCGCCGGCTCCGCTAGAAGCCTCCAGGAGGCGCTGCAGCACGTTTAGGGCACAGGGGGCGGTTTGGTCAGGGTCCAGTTTACATGGCTCAGCATTTGGGGTTTTGGTTCAAATCTTGGGGTTTCCGCCGACCCTGGCGGCGTGCTGGATGTTGTCCCCCTTCGCTCTCCTCCCTCCCTGCCAAGGCTCGTCAGATTTACCTTCCTCCCCCCCCTCTGCGCCCTCAAACCCCACCCTCATGTCCCCCTCTCCCCTCACCTTCTCCTTCCTGGATGGTTGGGGCCTCCTCTTTCCCGTCCCCCCCTCCCCCTACCACCACGACTACACACGGTCTGGTGAGATCTTTGCAAAATCTGCCCCTCCCCCCCCACCCCCCCCCACCCCCCCCCGCGCTGACGGCTGCTGTCCTAAACGCCGGCTTGAGCCGGAGGCTCTTAAATAGGGCAGTTTCGGGTGGAGCGTTGAGGCGGGGTTTAAGGGCTTTCGGAAACTTTCGGTCCTTACGCTCGGAGGTTTAAGAGGGCCCTCGATCCTATATTAATCGCATTCCTTGGAGTAGATGGTAAAGATCAACCAAAGGCAACCCGTTCTCGAAGTAGGAATTCTGCAAACTCTGGAGTCTAGTTCATTGGGCATAGGGGACTGTTGAGGTCCCCCGGCCTATAGGCCCCCCATGTGTTATGGGGCTGTGAAGGGACGTGAGGAAGTTTTGGGAACAGTTGTGTTGGGTGGATTTGTGCGTGGCATCCTTGCACTCTCTCTCTCTCTCTCTGTGCCGCTACTGGGCCACTGAATACATTGAATATGTGACCTTGCGCATCTTGCACAGAATTGCTCGTCCCTGGATCTGCAGAGGCCCTGGCTTGAGGAGAGCTGTCGCCGGATGTGATCATGGGCAAAGGCTGCGGAGTCTCGATGTGCCTGCATGACAGTCTTTGCAGCGAAAACGCTCCTTGAGTCGTGGATTCAAGCTGCGATGCAGCCGAGATGCGGCAGCAACGCAGGTTTCGTGATGACACTGGGGGTACTCCCCATGATGGCACCAATGTTCCTGCAAAACCAAGCTACATGTCCGAGGAGAGACACATGATAGTTTGGGTTTTTGGATGGCCAACACACAGTTAGAAACCACACTGCCACAATTCTGCTTGTATGTTTCCATCGATGTGTGTGCAAGCATCCACGCTCTGTCAGTCTGTTGAATCGGGTGACGGAGCATGCAACATGTGTCCTACTGCCGGGCCTGTGCAGCGAAGAGACACTCTGCCATTGAACGCACAGCCTCTACACGTATCATGTCCTGGTTTCCGTTTCCCGGGCTTCATTCCTAACAAGCACCAACACAGGGCAGCGGGTCCTCACGGGCTGGATCGCACGGCCCCAATCGATCCGCAAACACATCCCAAAGTAATCCTCGCGAGTGAAACTGCAAAATGATTGTTGCAAAAACCCACACGGCAACTGATCGATGATCACATGGCACAGCTGGATATTGTGGTAGTGGCCCCACACGGGCATGAAACTCGATACACACTATTCCGCGAAGTCCTTCCCGTTGAGCCTCAATCTGGCATACTCCGCTTGTTGCCGTGTCTTGAATTGGACGAAGCCACTGTTCATGCCTTGCGACATGCTGGTCTCTTGCGTTGATCTCACGATGATAATACTGTTCCGGGCCTCGCTGGCGTTGCTGCTCGTTCCTCCACCCATCGTGCAGCAGACAGGTCAAATCAAGCAAGACAGCACTTCTTCCCAATCAAAAGGCCGTCCTGGGGTACATGATCTTGATCGATGTTATTTCTCCAAAGCGCCCGAACCTTGCCGGTCCAAATTCTACTGAGTCTCCTGCTAGACAGTAATAACGCCATTACAGCAAAACACAAAACCGCTACAGTCGCAGAACGGCGAACAGAGCCATGGCAAGCCTCGACCAGTAGCGGTAGTCGTCGTAGAAGTAGCAGTAGCAGTAGTAGTAGCAGTAGTAGTAGCAGTAGTAGTAGTAGTAGTAGTAGCAGCAGCAGCAGCAGCAGGAGTAGTAGTAGTAGTAGTAGTCTTCTGCCATCGCTCTCCGCCGCAACTCTACCAGGAATCCGCCTACATACATACACAGATGCCGATGATAGCAACGATGATAGCAGCAAAGCACAAACAAGAGCAATACTGATCTGCTTTGGCCCCGGCTCGCGTGACAGCAGTTCTTCAGTCCACTCTGGCGACAGAGAGCCGACGTAGAGGTTGTTGGTGTCCTGGCCCTGGCAGAATTTAGTCCCCAAAAAGGGCCGCGACGCCGTGTGGGAGCACAACAAACTGACATCAACGGAACGAGTCGTGATACGAAAGGCACGATCACAACGACTCGCAACTCGGCACCGCAATATCAAAATTCAAAACGCGGCAGGGCAGCAACGACATCTCAGCAAGAATAATCATAAGCATGATAAGTATAACAATGGCAACAAAAAGACGATCATGACAACAGACAGCGACATATAATATGTGTGATAACACAGACAAAAACCCTAAAACCCCCAAATCCTAAAGCCAGCACCTCGCCTCGGCTGCCGTAAGCGGGCCGGTCGCCTGCTGCTGGTGCGAAGGCGAGCCGACATGGCCGTCGGCCTGGGCCTTAGGCACCGGGACGTTGATATAACACAAACAGTAGTTTGTTTCGTGTTATTGCATGGCAGACACATGGCTGAAGGACCAGCCACACATTGAGAATGGGCTGCTCGCATCTCGACAAGGATTTGCAACTGTTTTTGAGTGCAGAGAGCTTCAGCTTTTCTTGGCCATGCCGCGCAGGCAGGTTACAGTGGAGAATGCCTCGGAGAGTATGTAGTTCACTGCTGGGACTAGACGCCCAAGCAAGTCCGACAACGTCGGGGCATGTCGTGGCATGCGCTGGCACAAGAATTCTGAAGTAGGCGCTCATGACTGTTGTTACCCACGAGCATCTCCAACCCCAAACTCCGACGGTTTACTTAGCAAAACCCTCGAATGAACGCATACATACATCTACCTACATCCATATTTATTACGTAAAGCGCATGTACCCAAGCTGACAACCTGAGGTTTACAGATGTCCAAACTTATGCAGGCTCGCAGTGGTGCTAAGCAAACTTGCCTCTTGTTCTGGCCCTGTCTCTCTCTCTGCCCTCTTGCGTGCACCGCGGCGGCTAAAACCGTCTTGAGTGAGTCCTTTCGCACAAGTGAGCTCCAAACCAAGAAGCCCTCGACGTAGGTCAACTCTTGCCTGTGCCGTGGCTTACTTTCTGACTGTCCATCTATTGACAATGAATATATTCTAATGTGTGGGCAAAGCCAAATGAGGTACAGCAGCGAAACTCAGTGCATCAAGCTACGAGTACTACTAGCCACAGTCCGGCTGGTAGTTGTGTGAACTGATCCCGCCTGAGCCTTGCGAGGCGGGCTGTGTCCTGTGCGCAAGGAGCTTTCGTTGCCAGCATGCTTGCTGTTCTGGGTGGACTACACGCCTACGCGCTTCACAGGGCGTTCCCAAAGGCTTTCGCGGCTTACAGAACCTCGGATCGGAACTCCTATCGGCGGAACGTCTGTGCGACACCGGCTTAGCATTGCTTAGCATGCAAGAGTAAAAGAGGTGTCGGCGTGGACTTTCCACAAACAGCAAGGCATTGGTGGTGCTGGTAGACACTGTTTAGGAGAACTACCAAGAACCACCCAGCTGCGCTCGATGCTTCATGATAATTCACAGATTTTGGTGGTTCTGCAGAGTGCGAGTAAGAAGAACAGCTGAATGCGCATCTCGTGGCATGCAACGAGATATTTGCACGAGCACAAAGTTTTTCATTTTGCAGCTGCTGCCGGTGCTGGCAGTAAATACTACCAAAATCGACACTGTTGGTGGCCTCAACATCATGCCTATCGACTTCGATTTCCCTTTCGCTGATTTTACTGCATCTCTACTCCACACTTCCTGTCAGCAAAAATTCCCAGAATGTATGACATTCAAACCTTCGAGCCCCGAAGCCCCGACGATGCCCCGAAGTTGAGTAACTCTGAAGATCTTCATGAAGCCGTAATGAAGCCTCGAGACACTAAGCGTTGAAACCTACACACACTCAGTCTAAACCCCCATGACCAAAACACCTGACCCTAACTTAAAGGACACTACAGGTGGGGAGTTTATGGTCTATGGGGCTTCTATAAGACTTCTAATAAGGTATTTAGACCTTCTATAAGGCTCCTATAACGGTAACTACCAACCTGAAACTGTCCTAGACTAACCCCCTCAACAAAAATCTGAAACCCGAAACTTTTTAAGGCCTACAGCCCCATGAAAAGCCTCGCTCATCTTAAGCGATCCTGAAACAAAGCCTCAAAATCAGCCGTCTCCACCCAAGGAACGCCCTAAAACACCCTGGTTTTGGGCTGGGCCTGAGGGGAAGAGCTGATCAAAGAGTCGACCTCCTCTCGCAGCCGCTTCCTGAAATAAGAGAGGGCGGCATCTATGAATCGAAACCGGAGTCCTTAGTTGTTGCTTTTCGCTGTTCTGAGCTCTTGCGTTTATGGGTTCAGGGCTTCCGGGGGTGCAGAACTTAGGAAGCTTTGGGGTGTATGGGTTTTTCGGGCTTCGAGTCTTGTTGCAACGGAACAGAATAATCGAGTTTAGCACCACGTGACCACGTGCTGTAGATACCAGGGCAACATAGGGGCATTACAGAGTAGAATAGGGTGTCGGGCTATCGGTGTATTATCGGAGTATCGTATAGTCAGGTGATGTTTACTCCCAAGGGATTAGACCTCTGAGTGCCGCAAGATCCAAGACCAGGGAGTCGCCAAAAACGGGTCTCGTACGCCATATAAGCTGTCACCTTACAAGAGGCTGACACCACTAGAAGCAAATCACTACCAGTAGTGACTCACTAGTGGCACTGAGAGTGCCGATATGAGAATACTTGTCGCCAGCCTTCATCTTCATAGCCTTGAGACTGCAAGTAATACTACTCTGGTGTTGTTACGTAAGCAGAACGAGTCCCAAACCCCTCGTTTGGGACGCCGGCCGGAGCTCTCGCTTCTCTTGCTTCAGCTTCATCTCCTGGACGAACACCCGAGGCAATGGCAATCACATGATGCTCAGAGTGGCAATAATTACCATAGGTATATATGTGTGTATGTATGTGTGTATGTATGTATGTATGTATGTATGTATGTATGTATGTATGTATGTATGTATGTATGTATGTGTATATATATATATATGTATATATGTACGGCCAGTCTTTTTCTTCACGATTGAATCAATATAGGAAGGATAAGCAAGAAGCAATGTCTAGCCCCTTGGCCAACCGGCGGAGTGTCAGTTCTGTATGAAGCGACGTTGATGTGCACACTTCTGAGCGAAGCATGGCCTCGACAAGGCCAGAAGGGCCCCGCAGTCGTGTTGAGTTTGCAGGGTCTAAAATGTCTAACCTGGACCTGCTGAGCACAGCAGTCCTCCAGAAGGCTCATGGACTCGGACACTTTGCCCTTGCCACCGGCCTAGCCAGTTGTGTGGGCTTTTGATGCACTGAAGCTCAAATCTGCACATCCGACCCTTAAACTGGAGACCTTGGCACCGCCGCCGCCGCTGAAGCCCATGCCTGTCTGAACGAACCATGAGCAATCCCACTCCCCGATCGCTACCACACTCCCCTTGGAGGGGCTTGGCTTCGGGTTCAGGGGTGATTCACCCATGTCTGCGCTCTCTTGCAGGATTACAACTGTGGTCGATTTGAGGAGAGAGCGGTGCATGATGCTCGCATATGTTTGGCGACGACAGGATTGGGCCGGTATGGGCCCGTGCTCCTTTTTGAACCTAGACTCAAATCCTGCATCTGGGCATCGGCAGCCGCCATGACTGCATGTCGGGCCCGTGCTCCTCCTCCTCCTCCTACTACTACGGCGACGACTACCTCTCCTACGCCTACTCCTACTCCCTCTCATGTCCCCTGTGTTTATCATTATCGTTTGCACGCACAACTGGTATTTGCTGTTCTGATCGTGCTCGTGATGGTGCTCACTGCGACCCTTTTATTGCATCAACTTGTTGCGACCCATTCTGGGGAGAGACTTTACGTCTGCTTACAGCGACCCAGCCCGACTCTGCTGAACGAATACTTAATTGCCCCCAAACTCTAAACCCTTGCAACTGGACTCAAGTTAAACCCAAAACCCTTTTGAACCCTAAACCCTCTAAACCCAAAACCACCAAACCCTCAACCGACCCGCCTGGGGCAAGGCTGCCAAGGCCCACGGCCCGCGACGTGGCGCCGGGTGGGGGCCTCCAGAGCCCAGGCCTGTTCAAAAGGGGCTCTCTTAGGGGTGTAGGGTTTAAGGTTTATGGTGCAGGGCCTAAAGTTTAGGGTTTTTTCCCCCTCACTCGGGCTCTCGGGGAGCTGTTTCTGACTTGTCTCGGATTGTGGGCAACTTGGCTTGATTAGTTATTGAACCGACTCGAACAGACTCGAACCCCTCGCTTTCAGCGGCGATGACGGCATCGGAGCTGCTCGGAGATGCTTGGGGGGAAGGAGGTTGACGGCCGCAGTAACGCCTGTGGGCCATTTTCCTCCTCCTCCTCCTCCTCCTCCTCTTCCTTTTTACTCTCGCATGGCTGAGGTCTATGCCCACACAAGAGGTTTGCTTTGTTAAACCAGGGGAACTATGTCTTCCAAGAACACAGAAATTACTCCAAAGGTTTGCCTCCTGCTAGGGTTGGGGGTTTGGGTTCAGGATTTAGAGGAGGGTTTACACCCTGGACTTGGCCAAACGAGGTCTCTCGGTTCGCGTTCGCACTACAGCTGCGGTTGAAGGGAGGGTTCACACTCTCACAACGCGGACAATCTTAAAGGGAGGCTTTAGAGTTTTTTTCCCTCCCACCTGGCTAGGACAAATTTGGGGCACTCGTTTGAACATCTAAGAACCGACGGTTTCGGGTGCTTTGCTTTCATCGGTTATTTTTCCGATCCGCCGTAGCAGTAAGCTTTGGACCTGTAAGTCTTGAGGGTTTAGGGTGTTTAGGCATTTAGCGTTCGCAGTATAGTGCGCCTTGAGGGGCACGGGCTTCAGCAATATAAGCAGCTGAGAATAGTAGTGATCTAATTCTAACATGTTCCAACCATGGATGCATTCGTTCCTTCATGTAGGATACGTGCCGGCTGAGTCTTGAAACTAAAACACAGATGGCGGAAAATTCGAAGTCAGGTGCTTGTTGCACATTGAAAACATCTGTTTTCTTCTTCTGATCCGGGGTCCAGGGAGCTTGTCAGGCCCCCCCCCCCCGCCGTATGTGTCTTCTTCCACAGGGGCAAAGGAGCGTGTCAAGCCCCCTGGCCACATGGGCCCCCCAGTGGTTGTGGGTACCCGGACCAGGTGTGAGACAGTGCACCGGGTGTCCCCCACGTACCACGGACCAAGTGCAGCCGTATGTGTCTCGCTCGCTCTCTCTCTCTCTCTCTGCAGTGCCATCTTCAAAGGTCTCACCACGCAAGGGCATGTAGAAGAAGGTCAGACAATAAGGAGGATTCTGCGCGCGCGCAAAAACCTGCTTCATCCGTCGCCCACCCAACTGGACAAGAACTTACCTCAGCAACCCCGCTCTGGGCCGCGAGACCTTTGACAAAACAAGGACATGCTGCACTGCTTTGCACACGGACTGAAGCCCTCCCGCAATCAAGACTCAAATATTCATCATAAGGACACTGACAACAACGACATGATATTTTCACTGTCCTGATTCTAGCCCGACTTCTGCCGGGGCATTTGCCTCACAAGCAGCGCACACTTCCGCCCTCCCCCCCCCCCGCATCAAGCAGAGCAATGGCAGTCCTAGTGAATAATGGCTAGAAGCAGAGTCTGACTTCCTGAGCAAATGCTTTTGGTGCCAGCTCGGACACGTGAGCTACGTCGCATGATCAGCCATGCGCCGCTAAATCACCCTGCACTCGTGCCGCCTTAACTCACCCGAGGCGACCGCAAGAAATCCGAGGGCTTCAGAGCATGTCAAGCACACATTGCGAGAAATTCCGCAAGCACCGAACAGAGGTCACAGAGCTTCAGGAGGATAGTTCTGCACCCAGACACGTGGAAGCAGCCAAAAAAACAGATGTCATACCGTACATGATTAGGTAGTAATATGTCTATCTTTCCCTCCATCTCATGGTTGTTTGGCCAAAATACAAAATTGCGCTGCTGTTGACGGTGGTCGCAAATAAAGTATGCCACGTCTTCTGCTTATGAATGTTGAGGTGATGCTTCTTGTTGCAGTATTGCTGTTCAAAGGCGCTTTACCAGGATCGGGATCAAACTTATCTCATCACCGTTGGGAGCTTTGGCGGAAGTATGGAGGTGACCAGCACTCATCTGAATACACCAGAGCATCAGGAGTACGTAATCACCACGATGCTTTATGATATCAACATGACGATACCAGTAGTGGTAGTAGTAGTAGTAGTAGTAGTAGTAGTAGTAGTAGTAGTAGTAAGGCACCAAAAAACCCAGAACATGGGCATGCTTAACAAAGGGTAAAAGCTGCTTGTGTCGGTATCGGCAGCAGCAGAAGTAGGTTCCAGTAGCAGTAGTGCTTGTGGCGCCGGCACCAGTAATCTCCGAGGGAATGCAGTCGAACGTACTTGCACTGACGTGAGCAGCAGCATGGGTCACAGGTGTTGCTGGCAATGAGGGGGTAGCTTTGACTCCTTTCGCCACTTCCTTCTGCAAGTCGCAACGAGTCTTGGCTGAGGATTTCCTGCTCGGTTAAAGTTAATCAGACCGGCAGCATCTGCAACTGTACACTGTACACCCGGATGACCTTCAGCCACCACGCTGCGCTTTTCGAAGAGGCAATAACTCAGAACAAGGTGTGGCGCTCCTCAGTATCTGTCTCAAGCAAGATGAGCTTGCAAAGCGCATTGCTGGCTGCAGGAAACGACCACTGCCAGCAGCGTGAACTCGGACGCAAAACACCAAGCACTTCGAATGTCGAAGGGTCGGACTCTAGGCTGGGATGACGACGAGCTGCATCATGTCGTCGCACCCTCGCCATGCGGACTCGTTGCGGACAAAGCCGCTTGCAAGCCTTCCGAGATACAACGGTCAACATGACTACCAAGATTAGATTAACTCATCTCCGGTAGTGTCGTCGTTGCAGGTGTCGTCGTAGTAGTGGTGGTGGCGGTGGCGGTGGTGGTGGTGGCAGTTGCGGCGGTGACGAGCTGTAGAAGAAGAATAGATTTGAATAATGGTTACCATGATCATGTCGACACTGCCAAAGATTGCGCTGATGGTACTAAAATGATCTGTCGCTAAGCTGTGCCTAAGCACCGACCCCGCTGCTGCAGCCGACAAAACGACCTCTCTATCGCTCCATACGACCTCCATTAGCTGATATCAGATATCGTAGTGTCATCTCAAATCATGTTATGCCGACACACGTGTGGACCATGTGGTCCTAATCACCGACGCTCGCAGACGAACACGCAATGCGCAACACAGCCTGCCTTGCCGGCGGCAAAGCTCACCTTTGCCGAAAGGCGGCAGCAGGATCGACCGACAGGCTGCAGGGCATGCTGGTACCTGAGGGAATTTCCAAGCCCAGGTGCTGCGACCAGCGGGGCGATTGACATCCCAGCCAAACCCGAACGCGTACACCATCTGCGCTTTCTCTTTGAGCTGCGAAAATCGAAGAACAAATAAAAACAACATCGTAACTTCCGCCTGTGGATCTAGCCTCGGATCATGAACTCTGGATCTCAGAAATTGCACGAGCGACAAAGATTCAGTAAGGACTTACTGGTCATTGCTGATCCCAGGACCAACATGGAAGCCCTTTCAAACAAACCAGAGCCGAAGGAGCGCTCTCTTTACCTCGTAGGGTCAGTGTTGCTAGCAGTGTTGAGTTAGGACTCTTGCCTGAACCCTCACCGAAAGCCCTAAACCTAATGGCCCAACCTGACGGAAAATACCCAGGCAAACCCTGAACCCTAAAACCCTAAAACCCTAAACCCTTTTGCAACTGGCTTGCAACGTCACGCCAGGACACCCTAAACCCTAAGCAAGCCAAACCCTAAACCCTAAACCCTAAACCCTAAACCAAGAAACATCATCTCCCAGCTTGCACTTGCCCTCGAGGCCACGCAGCTGGCGACTCTCCGGGGCCAGGGCCTGCGAGCTTTGGCAATCAGCCCGTGCCATGGTAAGTCAGTACGTAAGTGGGTAGTTCTCTAAACTAGGGTCCCTTTTTAGGGTCCTTTTTATAAGGGTGCCGTACTATATTGGGGACCTAAAAATGGACCCTAATTTAGAGAACTACCCAAGTGAGTCTCTACGCAAAACAGTCTCAGCCAGACAGTCAAGGAGGGTGCACCTATGTATGTAAGAAAGTGTTTGAATAGCTATAGTTGCTATGGCTGAACATGTAGAGATGCTTATCAAAGTATGTGTGTGTAAGTATCGAGGGAAGCCCTGCGGTTCAGCTATCCTTCGTCCTAGTGCAGCTAAGGGCGGGTGCCTGAGCTCCCTTTACCTGCTACGCTTCACAGAGCAGGCGTGCTCCCTAGTACTTGGAAAGTACCAACACGGCAAGTTCTACTACAGTATACTTCTACGTATGCATGCATGCATGAACCCGCAAACGTAAATATTGGTTTGATAAGTGTTCCGTGCTCACACATCTACACATAGCCCTTATTACAGAAAAGATGTGCGTGTATATACATATATACATACATATGACGTTTTGTAGTATGCATAGCCAGTGTGATTGTCGCTGTCGTGACCATGACTATGACTATAACGACCATGTATATACACTGTCGACGCACCCTGACACCTGAGCTCTGGCTTTCAGGGGCTATTCGGATGCGATTTGGAAAGCCTGCTTGACACTACCAAGCGCACTGAAGCCAGCTCCCAAAGGCTCAACTGAAACCCGAGACTAAGGGCCTGGGAAGCCTAGATAAGTAAGCTCACTGGACCGGGGCATCAAGTGAGCTGCCTTGTCAAGCCTCAGATGTTTCTGAAAGTACATTTCGCAAACAAAACCCACGCCTCCCTCGCATACCTCTCATCCTGGCTTTATACAAGTCGTGCTATGTCGGTCTAAGATTACAAACGGCGATGAGAACGCTGGAAAATTGATCCTCGCCAGCAGCGGTTCTTCCCACTGCCGCTAAACAGAACTCAGAACTGAACACCGGTGTCCGGTGACTTTACATTTGCTTAATTTGGTAACCAGCTGCCCAAGAGTCCGCCGCGGCAAACTTTGTTGATAAAGAAGTGCTGAATGCTTCAACTCCCTCAGTGGGTTCTGCTTTACTTCCCATACTATACCGCAATTGCATGGGGCCTAGAAGGGGGAGCTATTGCTATTCAGCACCTGGAGGCCCACCAGCAGCCCAAGGAGCCGACACCACCTTCCCGGAAGAAACGGAGACTGCAAGGGGGATCCTTAGGAGCTTCGAGGTAGATGAAGGTAGAATACTAATAGCGTACAAAACATTGCGATGAAACAAGGTATAAGGTAATATAATACAACATAGACGAACACCATATCTAGCAGTAGCATATAGTGTGTGTGTATATATATATATATGTGTGTGTGTATACTATACACATGTCATATACAATATGTAATACGTAGAAAATAGTAGATAATATCTAATGTCTGATATGGCTGATATGTCTGGTCTATCTAATATATCAAATTTGCCGAATATGTGAAACATACCTGATATATATATATATATCTAATATATCTCAGATACCTAATATCTCTAATAAATAGCTATGGCTGATACATCTCAACTACAGCACACAGGGATGTAATGTACGATGCATAACAAATAACATGTGCACATGCACATACACACAGATACATAACATGACAGAATATGTAATGTAACCATGGTTTATATTATGGTATATAGTATGAAAAATAAAGTGTTGAATCTAATAGCAATAGATGATTTTGCAAGTGCATATACATACGTATATATATCTACACACACACCCACATATTGTCAACTATGTTGAATTCTATTCCTAGTATTGTAACACATAATAAGAACTGTTCTTGTATGCCATGTATAATATGACCAAAACTATAACAAAAAAGCAAAGTAAATGTGACATATTATAGTAGTATAGCGTAAAACAAGATGGCGCGATATTGCTGTTTATATGATACAATGTAATACAACATCATTTCTTCCTGCGTTTCTGACCGAATCACTAGGCAGGGGTGTAAGTCTGACAATGTAATATATTATGAAGAGATGACTTCATGTAATGCCATGTGATGCAAACACATTATCGTTTGATCTATTAGCACAGTATAGTTTCAACCTAGACAACGATCACGCAAGAACAAAGCAGCTGAGCCCCCAACTTAATGTCGGACATACAGTGCTACAAATCTTGACAGTTGAATATGGTATCCTGTAGATTTCCGACAACAGACAATGATTGTCTATAGCTGTTGGGAATGTTCGGCGCTTTAAGCGATGAGGGATGTGGTTTTCCAGACGTTCAGGTGCTCTGCCTGCTGCGGAGCGATACTTCCCCTCTCATAATGTCTTCTCTGACAGGAAACCGAAAACTTTTCCAAACACCCTGCCTTATCGCCCCGCAGTGGCCAGAGGAAGTAGATCTCTTAATTTCGCGGCTACAGTCACCAACTGTTTAATTTGCTGCAAGCTCCTTTGGAGACATAGAGTTTGGAGCATGTTACAGTCGCAACACGCCCGATTCACCCCCTTCTTGCCTGCTTGCTTGCAAGCAAGCAAGCAAGCAGAGTTACGGAAGCAAACAGTGTTGCCGCCTACTAACTCAGCCGAACCAAGTGTTTCCGGCGGTTCAACAACAGTGCCATGAGAGCTTTACACTGGGACTGTCGGCGATCCAAAACTGACGCTTCGGACTCACTCGCACTTCATGCTGAACCCAGAACGTCTCAACACAAATTTTGGAAACTTCGACAAATGTCACTTGAGACAAAATGTCCTCAGCCGTAGCGTTTTAGAGGCTGTTTCCAACCCTTGGCTCTCCCCCTCTGCATTTGCGGTCGCATTCAACTGATCTGGCAGCAGCATTTAGCACCGCGGCTAGTGCACAATGCCATCGACAGTTTGTGTGTCTACATACATACATAAAAAAACATGCATAGATACATACCTACATAATCCTACATACAATGGCTCGGCTTGACTTGGTTCCGTTTAGTTTCGCTTGTAACGGTTCAGAAGACCCTCAGGAAGTCCTCGCACTGTACACGCGTACCAACACGTACGCGCAACATGCACATGTGTATGTGTGTATACGTGTTTGTTTTTGTGTATGTTTGCATGCCATGCATCTACTCAATTTATGCTTGAAGACTACTTCTCATGCTCGACCAGATATCGTGTTGCACAAAAACATACGAGCACAAATTTCACACGTGATTCGGTTGCACGTCCCACTCAAATCCCCCTCTGGGCCTTGGAGTCGGGCCCAGCCTCGGGTCAGCGTCCGGTGTCCGGCACCTGAAACATGGGTGGCCACGGTGCTGTTATCCGAGCTATCCAGGGCAGAGTTCGGGTTCAGCATCGCATGATGTTGAACATTATGAATGTTAAGCAATGGCATCACTTGGTTACATGGACGGTTGCCTGAGGCGCAGGTCCTTGTTCGTGCAAGCAGAAAGGCATGGCTAGCACCTAACCAAGGCACTGCGCAAGGGCTCCGTGCTGTCCCAGGCGGCTCGTAGTGCGAAGCGGCAACGGGTACCCATCCGGCGCACCGCTTCTTGGGAGGCTGTCAGATAAGGATACTCAGGGTTTGGGGATGTTATGTCCCGCTACTTTGAAGCTTTGCATGTTTCCTATGAGTCCGTATCAGTATAGTTGTTGTTTAAATTCCGCTTGTCGTCCCTGCGGGAAAGTTACACATGCTATACAATGTATGTACATGTAACACTGGTGTGTGTGTGTGTGTGCATGTGTGTATGCAACTGCATGCAGGAACAGCGTCTTGCGTTAGACGGTCAAGTTCAGAATGAGACGGGGCAGTGTGGCGCACAGGGTCTTCTGTTAGACAGTGTTTTCTTGGACATTCTGATTTCAAAATGTCTCGGCCTGACTTGGCTCTGTTTGGTTTGGCTTGTAGCTGTCAAGGAGAGCCTCAGGACCTCGCACTGTACACGCGTACAAAGACATACGCACAACAGGCATACGGGCATACGTGTATGAGTGTATACTTGCTTTTATGTATGTTTGCATGCCATGCATCTACGCAAAACCTGGGTCTGTGTTGCATGTATGCTTGAAGACTACTTCTGATGATAAATCGCATGCCCGAGCAGATATCGTGTTGTAAAACATAAGAGCACGACATTCACATATGATTCGGTTGCACATCCCTCTCTGGGCCTTGGAGTCGGGCCCAGCCTCGGGTCAGTGTCCGGTGTCCGGCACCTGAAACATGGGTGGCCACGGTGCTGTTATCCGAGCTATCCAGGGCAGAGTTCGGGTTCAGCATCGCATGATGTTGAACATTATGAATGTTAAGCAATGGCATCACTTGGTTACATGGATGGTTGCCTGATTCTACGGCCACCAGAAAGCACGTGAGCAAAAATTGGGATAGGGATGTCCCGTATAAACCGCCTTATAGTGAAGCCCAATCACGTAGGGATATCCCCATTTAAAATGCTTATGCGTATGTCCGTATGTCCTTTTGGGGTGCAAGCAGAAAGGCGTGGCTAGCACCTAACCAAGGCACTGCGCAAGGGCTCCGTGCTGTCCCAGGCGGCCCGCAGTGCGAAGTGGACACGGGTACCCATCCGGCGCGCGGCTTCTTGGGAGGCTGTCAGATACGGCTGTAGTCGGTGAGCGAACGCTCTAGCACGGCGCATGAACCACTGCCCGATTCCACTTGCGGTCTCTGATGTGACGCGGTAGGTCCAGCAAAGAAGGCGCCGAACTGCAAGATGCAAACCTTGTCCGGGCTTGGATTTCGCTGCCGGAAACACGAAAACATCACGAAAACGTCAACCATCCGAGCTGAGCGAGCGACGGGAAAGAGCATGTCTCAATGTGCTGGCACACCGTCTGCAGGTTGGCTCAGCCATGGACCACGCGCGGATGGCCTGTGGCGCAAGAGTTATACTCTGGCAAACAGGCCTGGCGAGTCTAGATGTCTTGCCGAAGTGCTGGCTGTTTGCTAAGCTATGACTTGCAAACGTGCCTGGACGCTGCAAAAGCTCTCAGGGTCAAAGCTTAGGCCTTAGGCCCTGGGGATCTAGTGGCCTCCTCACTTCTTTGTCGCCCAGACACCAATTGGCGCAATCGGCCAGCGCAGGGATCCCACACTCGATCCTCTTGGCTCCGGGTCGCTACGTAAGTCGCAGTAGGGCTCCGGAGCTTTCAGGCGCGAAGACATGCCCGCAGGAGATTCAGAGCATTTCACTCAGCAGCATGCCCAGTTTTTCAAAGATGATGCTAGCAGACTCCAGCTGAGTCGTGTAGTCAGTCTTGCAACACACCAAGCCTCACCTTTGATTGAAAGCGGACTCAGGAATCTCCATTACAGTAGCCGTTATACAATCCCTGATCTTCTCCCCTCTCCCCTCTGGAATTCCAAACCTCGGCCCCTTGTGTTGACGCCACGGCATTGCCTGGAGCAGGCGAGCAAGTCGGCGCAACGCTCTGAAAACAGCAACGAGCAGCCGCCGCCCAGGCTGCACCAAGCCTTGTGTTTGAGTGTTGACACTTATCCTGCACTTCTCGATTAGCTCGTCTTGGTTTGGTGAGTTTAGTGATTGAGATCTTTGGGCTATGATAGGATTTGGGCGCTCGCAACTCGAGCTCTGGCGAGGCTTTAGCGTTTCGGGTTCTTCCGCTAGTTCACCCGATCATCGCGGACATTTAGGGATACTAAACTGGCGCCGATTGGTCTGCGGTACAGAGGGCGCCTAGAGATGAAGATCTGGGGAACCTGAGACACTGCACAGTCTGAAAGCGTTGCAGCCTTGCTTTGTATACCAAGGACTCGAACTTTATCAAGGGACCCCCGTGCGAGGAAACCCTTCAATGGGTACAGCATCCGAGTGGCCCCGGCTCACTGCGTTTGTCACTGCATCCCTCCGTCGCTCCTTGGACGTCAGAAAAGGAGTACTAGCTCGGATCGAGATCTTCACTTCGCTCTTGACTGACTTCACGACAAGCACAAACATAAATGGAACATGAGTGCTCCTCGTCCGTCCCTCCTCTTCACACCTCCCCAATATCACACCACATCATGAAACGCATATCTCCAGGACCCTTAAGAAACATCTGTGCATTCTCGCGTCCCATGCTTGCGCACGCTGCCTCTGAAGTCGTAGAAATGGGAGAGACAGGCTGCGGTGGTGGTCAAGCTCAGCGAACAATCCTTTGCAAGGCGGAGGCTCTTACATGAACTGCATTCCTACACGTCATTTGTATGGACATGGGTTACAGTTCATTGCTGGAGAGAACAGGGCGCACAAGAGCCACATGCACTTTCAAGCCGCCTTACTGCGGCAGCGCATGCTCCAAGCCTTTTCACGAGCTTATCTGCTGACAAGCATCGGTTGGCTGCGTCGTCCAATGTCAGGCCACCTTCCGTGGAACCTTTCATGGAAGTTGCAAGTGAGGACTCATATGGCTCTTCAAATCTTTTCTGCCCAGACTACCTTAACCACTCTTAGGGTTTATAATCAGAACCTACAAAACAGTAGGTTTTGGTAGGTTAAGGGTAGCTTTCTGTTCTGTCGCTGTGTCAGAGCCCGCCTCGAAGGCGGACAACCAATTCCTGCGGGGATCCAGGCCACACCTCTCGGGCAGACCACTTGTTGACCCATAGGCCCCATAGGCCCCATTTAGTAGTTCCTTTTTGGGGCTCATTTTTGGAATCCCAAAAATAGGGCTTACCCATAGGCCCCATGCTGTAGCAGTTCGATTTTCGGGACTCTCTGACAGGATTCTAAATAGGCGCCATAGTAGTTCGATTTTTGGGATTCCCTAACAGGACTCTAAATAGGCCCCATACTGTAGTAGTGCCTTTTTGGGAGTCCCTAACAGGATTCTAAATAGGCCTCATAGTAGTTCGATTTTTGGGATTCCCTAACAGGATTCTAAGTAGGCCCCTTTTATTTCGATTTTTGGGATTCCCTAACAGGATTCTAAATAGGCCCCATAGTAATTCGATTTTTGGGATTCCCTAACAGGATTCTGAATAGGCCCCATAGTAGTTCGATTTTTGGGATTCCCTAACAGGATTCTAAATAGGCCCCATAGTAGTTCGATTGTTGGGATTCCCTAACAGGATTCTGAATAGGCCCCATAGTAGTTCGAATTTTGGGATTCCCTAATTGGAATCTATTTAGGCCCCATAGTAGTTCCTTTTTGAGGATTCGCTCAAAGGATTCTAAATATGAACCTCAAAAAGGAACTACTATGGGGCCTATGGGTAGATCATGTGCTCGCTGACTGGAACAAGTCTTTGCCGTCGACTCGCAAGTGTCACTCTGCTCAGCCGGTGGCAGATGCCCCGCGACACAACAAGATGCAATGGATACTAAAGAGATCTTCTACACTAGCGACTAGATTCGGCTGGTGTGAACTGGACGGTCGGACTTGTGTCTCCAAGGCACCACATGCATTTCGGCTGCATCAAGGCGGTTGGTGAGGTCCTGCACTAGACATTGTCCATGAAGCCACCTAAACTTTACACCATTGCATGAAGCACACCTCATGTAATTCAGATCGCACGGGCAGTCCCAAGCAACGGCAAGCTTGGAAGATTTGGGATGCCTTCCACGAAGCTGGACATCCTCTCAGGCAACAGCCGTGAAGCACTTGAATTGGACATGGCATGGCTCCGATTGCGAAGGATCAAGGCTTCTCAAAGCTGAGGGTGCCACAAACATATCGTGGGGGCGTGGAAGCGCCAGCGCGACGTCCTCCGCCAAGACAATGCAGAGCAAGTCTGAGTTTGGTATGCGAGGGCATACTACTGAACCCCCACTGTGCGAAAGCAAGTTCATCAAAGAGGTCTACTGCTGTCACTAGATGCTATTGCTGGTGTTGTTCTTGCGGCACATACTGTTCACAGTAGACGACCTTACCGTAACCAAGAACTCAAAAATACACAACGGAACATGAGCAGTTGCGCCTCCAGGGCTTGATCTTACATTACATGGGTTTAGGGTTTAGGGTTTCGACTCTCACACTCGCACAAGGCCGGCAAGGCTCCGCATAGTTCAGGGTTTAGGGTTTTTTTCCCACCCGCTTCGCTGACTAGGTTTAGGGTTTAGGGTTTAGGGTTTAGGGTTGGAATCTAAGGATGACACATAAACTGTTGTGCCGAATGCTGAAGCCCACGGTATCGCGATTGTTTTTCTGACATTGAAAAGTTCCGCACGTCTCTCCACTCCATGTAATTATCCGCATCTGCACTTTATTCGGTACGAACAACAACAAATTATCAAATTCATATACTGTATATATATATATATGTGTGTGTGTGTGTGTGTTATTTTCTAGCCCTGTATTCAAGTTTGTGTGTGTGTGTGTCAAAAAATGTATACAACATACATATATACACAGATTTGTACAGATAGCCATATATATATATATATATCTTACTTTCGTACTCACGCATTCATTCATTTCTTGAACCTGTTCCTGATCCCTGCAAGTGGCTTGTACATGGACATGCATGAAGAAACCATTATCCAAGTGTCGTTCGTGATTGTCACTGTTGCCTCTACTAGTCTTATGACCATCATCCCGCGCGATCGCACACAAACCTCCACAGGTTTATGCACTTGCCGTGCATCCATAAAACTCAACACGCATTCGTGCACGCACACAAGCACAAACAAGCAAAGGCACCTGCACACACTTACGCATGTGTATTTTTTGTGCATGTGTATCATATATACATCTATAGATACTGTCTGTTTTCTCGTTTGTATGTGTGTGAGAGTATGTAGATACATATACATATATACATATATGTATGTGCATATATATATATATATGCGTGTGTGTGTGTGTATGCATGTATGCTTGCATGCACGTCTGTTTGTATGTATGTATACATGTATACATGTATGCATATATATATATATATATGTGTGTGTGTGTGTGTGTGTGCGTGTATGTGCTGATATATAAATGTATAAGTACGCGTATACATATATTAGCACTCAAGACTATGCGTGCAAAACTTCAATCTTACTTTTTTTGATTACAAATACCCTTCTAATCCCTTCTAGTTGTTTTTTGAATCTGGGCTTGTGAAGTAACTCTAATCATGTATATGTATATACACGCATGTATGTACATGACTTGTACATGCGTGAGTGTAGCGTGCATTCATGCATGTACAATCACACAGCGACGACACCGCCCTCCCCACTCAGTCACTCTGTGAAACAAGGGACACAACTCGACACACCATGCAGGGCCAGAAAAACGCCACTACTCTTTGAAGGCCAACATTCCTACGTGCAAGGTTTCAATACGCTTATGTCACTTATGTCTATCTGCCGTTTTGGGGTCCTTCTTTAAACGCGGACTTCTTCCTGCAGCCCTGGCTCCTCCCAGCCCACGGTGCCGAGGATGCGGCCGTGGACTTCGAGAAGGCGACGAGGAATCACGACGTCGCCGGGGAGTAGGTTGTCCAAAGAGGCGGCGTCGAGCCTCTGACTTCCGGGGCTTGGCATTCTTCTCTACGACCCCTGACTTCGTCACAGACTTTGGCATTCAGCCTCAAACATGTTCTTGTCTTGTTGCGTCTTGCTGATACTCCCAGACGTTCTTGGGGAGTTGAACTATATTGGGTGCGATCCTGATCCGGCTGCCCTGAGCAGTTGACCATGCTGGCCACCTTGCACAGCTCCCTACACGCTCTAAGGCTCGGTTGCCGTCGGGGTGCAGGACCAGCTCTTCGGGACGCCCTGTCTTGCTGGCGATGTGTACAGAGGGCACTCGCTCACCCTCGCCGCGAGCGAAGTCCACGGTTGCAGATACGAAGCTCTTGAACTTGAGATCTGGCAGCTGTTGAGCCTCAGTTGGTTGCCGGGGTCTACTACCACAGCCACAGCCCAATGTTCCTGAACTACTCGGGACGAAAAGCATGCCGCTCTTTTATGAAAGCCTGGAAACCATGATGCGGTCCGTAGCTCTCGCGAGAAGCCGGGGGAGTGCTTCCTTGCAGACCACGATGTCCATCTCAGATGCGGCCCTGGCCACAGGCGTTTGGCGGGTCAGGCAGTGCAGAACCCGCTGCCAGGGATCGGCCAACCGACTTCGGCAAGGAAGGAGGGTATCCATCACCAAATCTCCTCGAGGCAATGGTGGGCCTTGCCGGTATGCCTCGCCTTCCTCGGACCACCACCATGCGTATGTCTGAGACAACTGACTCCTGCTCAAACTCTGACCGCCGGCTCGATTTCTCCTCGTCCATTGCTGGCTCTGAACCATGTCGCTGAAGGCTTCGACGCCCATTGAATCGCGGAGGTTCTCAACGCGGAGGGTTCGCTTTCCTTTCCGGCTTCGTAGATGAAAAAGCTAAGGGTCCTGAAACCACCTTTAAGGAGCCAAAAAAGATTTTCCTTCCTTTTACCCAGGCTACGTGATGCTTCCTGGTGCAATGCAATTTGCTCGCGACGTCTGTTCTTGACGATGATCGCCCGGACCTGCTTCCTCTTCCCGGCTTGTGAACGGCATGCATCAGCATGCCTGGCAACCACAATCCTGCATGCGCAGCAACAGGTCTGAGCAGTTCGTATCCTCTTGCATCTGTCCTTCCCCAGTTGGCACCACAAACGTTTCTGAAATCTGCTGTCCTTGTTATGTCTCCGAAATCATACTGCTCCGGGTCGAACTCTGCGGCGAGGTCTGCCATGATACGCATCAACATCTGCGCCTTCCTGCCGCAGATAGCTTCACCGCATCACAACTGGCATCACATGATTTCACTCTCTAGTGTGTAAAAGCATTGCTGCAGGTTTAGGCTGCCTTCAACTTCAACCAGTTCGAGAAGAGTGCAGAAAGGCTCTGGCTCAGCAGAAAGTCTTTCACAGGACTGAGTTTAGCGATGGTCCGAAGCTTGGCAATATTTCCAGCTTTGCCTAAGGTCTTGATGTCGCTGGTTGCAGCTGTCATTGTCCCGCAGTTAATTTCCACATCGCAGGCGTAGCTGTGGTTTGTGTTGTGGCAGTGGCAGAGGCTGCTTCTGATGTCAACGACAAGGAAAGCAACTTCGACGAAGTTAGCGCGGTTAGCGTAGTGGTACCGGAACTACCGTCAGTACTACTTCTACGGCAACAACCACTGCTGCTGTTACTGCTACTGCTGCTGCTCCTACTAGTACTGCTAACTAGTACCACAAGTACTGCTTGTACGACTGCTCGCGAAGACTAGTACTACCGCTTCTACGAATACCCTACGACTTCGACGACGACCACAGCTACGAGTACCACTACTGCTGCAGCCGCTACTACGACGACGACGACGACGACTACTACTACTACTACTACTACTACTTAGAACTACCACTACTACTACTACTACTACTACTACTACTACTCCTACTTCTACTCCTACTCCGACGACTACTACTACGACTACGACTACGACGACGATACTACTACTACTACTACTACTACTACTACTACTACTAGTACTACTACTGCTACGACTACTATTACTAATACTACAACTACTACTACCGCTACCACCACCGCTCCTCCTCCCACTACAACCACCACACGAAAACGACCACTGGCATCGCTACGAGTACTGCTACTGCTGCTACTGCTACTGCTACTACCACTACTACGACGACTACTACCACTACTACTACGACTACCGCTGCTGCTGCTGCTCCTACTACTACTGCTACTACTGCTACTGCTGCTACTACTACTATTGCCACTACTACTCCTGCTGCTGCTACCACCTGCACTACTACTAAAATTGCTAATTTCATTACAATGTAAAAACAAGTTCTTGAAGGGAACTAAGTCTATAAAAAGTTAGTAATGTAAGGAACAAGGTTAGTGTAAGCATCGGGCGCTGGTGTTGTATTGCCCATTACACGATAATTGGATTTAAATTATTAACATCAACATCGTATAAAAATGAACCAGCAAACGGTGCAACTTCGCCATCTGTAGAGACACCGAATATAACAGCAGCATAATTAACAGCAAAATAGTTGTTGCGTTATACCTTACTGTACATGTATTAGGTCTATCAACTGTATTAAAATAGTTGTTTAATTGTGTTTCTAGTTCGGCTGTTGATTCAGAAGCGGTATAAGTACCTGCGGGAATTGGAATTTTACGATACACTGTACTACCACCAGTGCCACACCACAGCACCACTTCCACCACCATCGACCAATGACGAAATGGCAGTAGTTTCGGCTATTGCGATTTCGTGCTCTCTGTGTGGTTGTGCCTGTGGCTACTGTAGCTCTTTCGTCATTCATACAAGCAGTACTGCTATTACAGAAAGCGCCAGCTCCGCACTTTACTTAGATTGCTGCGATGCTTTCTCCACTAAGCCCAGGGCGTATTGAAACATCGATCCAGGCTCACCTCCTCGCACGCCTTCAGACCTGACAGCACAACTTCACACGATGGCACTAGTTCTGCGGTCAGTACTGCGGCGATTATGGCTGATTCCTCGTGCCTGCGGCTACAGCTGCTACTATCGCTACCCCTACTGCCCCTACTACTGCTGCTACCAAAACTACTGCTGCTACTACTACTACTGCTACTACAACTATTACTATCACTACCACTACCACTTCTTCTTCTGCTACTAGTACTACTACTACTACTACCAACTACTAACCACTAACCACTACCTACTAACTACTAACTACTGACTACCTACTACTTACTACCTACTACTTACTACTGCTGCTACTACTGCTACTACTACTGCTACTACTACTACTACTGCTACTAATACTACTACTACTACTACCACCACTATCACTACCACTACCACTACCACTACTACTACTACTACTACTACTAC